CACATAACTAAACTAGGCCGTGAGTCCTTTGGGAAGAACGATACTTGGTCTTACCAAGTTTTATTACTTGAACGATTCGGTCATACTTGCCGATTGTGAAACAAGTTTGTGACATCATATTTTGGTGCTTACAAATTTGTCCATCAGTATATAACCCTTTTTTCATCACTACCCCGACCTTCTCCAAGTCGGGTGCGCAATTCCACACAGCCTCGAGTGTCCACCCTTTCGCCCGCGAAGCCCACTATTTGCCCGTTATACAGGATGATCAGGTCGTTCGAGATATCCATCTTTTGGAATGTTTTCCAGTAGAGGATGTTCACCGAACTTCCCTGGTCAACCAACACCTTGTTGACCCTATAACGGGTGATCTCTGCCGAAATGACCATAGGATCATCTTAGTCGGGGTCGGGGACGAGAAAATCCTTGCCCAAGAAGGTTATGGGCAACATTGTTCTTCGTGGCATGTCCACCGCGTGGACGGATCGTAAGGCTCGCACATGTCGTTTTCGAGCGGACGATGATGAAAACCCACCCGCAAATCCTCCAGATATCGTGTTAATGTGCCCCCGTAAGGGGCGGTCGTGGCTCCTACTACGACTCTGGCTTCGCCGCCTTTCGGACCGATAGTGGTTTGTATGCCTCGATCTTTCACACCTCTCCGGCCTTTGTGGACTCGCCCGCCGGGGACTTCGCGGTTGCTGTAATGGTTCCCCAGGACGGTCAACCTTCACGTATTTCTTTAACTGTCCTGCTTGGATCAATTCTTCAATCTTGTCCTTTAGGGTCACGCACTCCTCCGTGGTGTGACCCATGTTTTTGTAGTATGAATAGTGTTTGTTGTCTTCCGTCCTAGGCGGCATGGGTCGTCCCTTTGGTTCGCGGATTAAGTCAGCGTTCAAGGCCTCCTGCAATAATCTTGCTCGAGGGGCGTTCAGTGGGGTATACTGCTGAAATCGTGGTCCCCTAGGTTGTTCCCTCTGCTTGAACCCTCCAGGCTTTCTGGGTTGACCATCCAACTTCTTCCCGTCTGTCTTATCTCCTTTGATCTCCTGGCCCTCCTTCTTATATGACAGATCATTTCCTCTACTCTTATTTCATCGGTTGCCCTCTCTCACAGTTCTTCCATGATTTTAGGAGCTCGCCGGCAAACACTATCCTTAAAAAGCCCTAACTTGAGGGCGAGTAGAACATATTGGAGGGTGAGTTCAGGGCTTAGCCCCTTTACCCGCCGTACGATTTTCTGGTAACGATCCATGAATGTTTTCAAAGTTTCCTCTTTCCCTTGCCTTAGGTTCACCAACTCGAAGATGGTCAAGTCCTGAGTACTACTACTCGCAAACTGTCGATTAAACATACGTTGCAATCCCCCGAAATTCTTGATAGAGTTGGGAGGAAGTGAATTGAACCATTCTAGCGCCACCCCCTCCGGGGAAAGGGAAAACGCTTGGCACCAGATGGCATCGTTGCCTGTGCGGAACGCCATCGTGTTGGTGAAGGTCTAGATGTGGGCCTCCGGGTCCGTCGTCCCGTCGTATATCTCACTAGTGCAGAATTGGCTTTTAACGTCCGCCCATAGACGTCCGTCCACAAAAAGCCCCAACGTAAATAATTGACCGGTGGCATATTC